GGGTCGACATTGAAGGGGCGACATTGGTGGCGGACAAAAAAGCTGTCGCACTACCACTTCTCGGGGCAAGCCGCTACGTCCATGCGCAGGTCGCTCAGGGAGAGGAGCGAGTGAGGGTTTGGTGTTAGCAAAGGGGAGAGAACGGAGGAGGAGGAGAGTGAGGAGAGTACGGGGGAACTGCCGGTGGCGTTGCACGGCGATAGTTACGGCGGCTGCCATGGACACTTCCGTGGTCTAGCCGACCGGATGTACTGTCGGCATCTTCGTTGGCAGAGGCAAAGAGGGGAAAGCCACTTTCAATGGGCATCTCGGGAACATCAAGTTCCATATCATTAGGCAATTCTGCCGATGACTGTGTCACGGTGGCACTGAACGCAGTCTCGAAGATGGACGACAGTGAAGGGGGGCGGGCTTTCTTCGGGAACCACTTCTTGGGCAACCGGACCAACGACCAGCTCCTTTAAAGAAAACAATGTCTTCACGCCAGCTTCCCCAGCAACCTCTTCGGTGCACGCAGCGAACACAGCGAATACGCCGCAGCAACATGAAGCCCAGGCGGCAGTAGGGTTGACCTCTATGACTACCGACTTCGCGACGGCCACGCACGTCGACACGAGGAACGGAGACATATATATATATATATATATAGGGCCTCGCCGCGGTGGTCTAGTGGCTAAGGTGCTGGGCTACTGACCCGCAGGTTGTGGGATCGAATCTTGGCTGCGGCAGCTGCATTTCCTACAGAGGCGAAAATGTTGTAGGCCCGTGTGCTCAGATTCGAGTGCACGTTAAAGAACCCCAGGTGGTCGAAATTCCCGGATTCCTTCACTACGGCGTCTCTCATAATCAAATGGTGCTTTTGGAACATTAATCTTCACATATCAATCAATCATATTAATACGCATTTAAGTCACACGTCACTGCCCCATCAGCAATATCCATGCGATGCCTGTAGTACAGCTACTATTTTTAGGTGGTGCATTTGTTGTCCAACTACATTAGGCTACGACTAGTTTTAAGACGTCATACTGTCGACAAGATGCAATTTACAGTGCGCGTTTGTACAGAGGAACGCTATATTAAGCTTCACCAATTGGAAACGTTCGGTGCAAAGCTACAACCCAGATTTTTTTTTTTTTTTTTTTGAGGAGGGCGGGGTGCAGTACAAGGACTAGTTTTGGCAATTGGTGGTCGCTGTGAATGTGTGTATATTTTAGTATACCCTGAAAAGATAAACTGCAAAAACATTTCATGGTGTAGGGGGTTCAGATTCCTTCTCTCTCTCTTTTCTTCTTACGACCTCTTGGTTCTGCGTGTGCTTGAAACGGTATTTTTTTTTAATCTCACTGCTTTCTGAGCACAGCTTACTTCCAATTAATCGGCTCAGTTATTCTGAATATTGTGGATGCCTAACCAACGAAGAAAGAGTTAAGATAGAAGAAATCAGTATAAGACACGCCCTGTCTGAATTATTTTCAATCTCTCACAAGGGTTTCTCGAAGCTTAAATTCAGTAGATTGGCGTGTCATACTTCCAGGGCTATGACATCTTGTGCTAGACATGAAGGATGGGCAGCTATGAAGAAATCTGCATCAAGAATGTGCGGTGGAGGAGCCAAAGCGCATAGCAGTTCCCGCACGCGACGCGCGGCTCTTTTGAGCACTATCGACTGCAGCGCCACCGCTATGGGCAAGGCGGAGGGGATCAGGCGGCGAGGCACAGTCTTGCAACTCAACTCTTCTACTACACTCCAACCGCGTCGCAGCAATGCAAACGGCGCAAACTTTTGCTACTTCTGTTAAATTCTGGTGTCACCGCCGCTCACTTAGGCGCACTTTTCAGTGACTTCTCGTGCAAACTGCGGCTTGATATTCACAGAAATGAAGGTTCTTATACCAAAGATGAGAATACAAAGTAAACCAAAAAAGTGATTTTTTAAAAGAAAACCGCGACTTTTCGACCCGCGTCTCCCCTAAATAAGAATCTATGGGCACCTCGCTGTAGGCTTATTGATGGTTGAAACAGGTTTCCCGGGAACTTGCCAGAGCGCAGACTTTGTTCATTTGCTGTAACTGATCAGCAGCGCTCAGAGACGTTTGCTGTAAATGCAACTTTGTCCCATTGAAATAATGAAGATGTTCACCCAGCTATCGTTTGTGTTAAGCGAAAGTTCGTTTTAAGTGGGGCCGTTATATGTGGGCTCGACTGTATTTGATTCGACAGGAAATTTTTGTGCTCACACACCCTTCATCGATATGCATGGCAGTAAAGATGGAAATGAGATGTTGGAATGGAATTCAATTCGTGCAATAGCTGTCATAGTTGCAGCTAACTTTTATCACTCAGAATTGCACTTGGGAAAGGAGAAAACGGGTGGCATACCACCTGTTAATGATGACGTCCATAAATGGCCTCCAGTCACGACTCTTGTTGCAGGCTGTTTTGCAAGGAATATTCATTCTTTGATCAATTTGTAGAACACTTAAATCGCTTATTAGCTGGTGCAATGAAATGGCATGTGGATAAATTCAGAGGAATGGAATTAGTGGCACTCGGATCAGAGTTTAAGATTACATTGGCTTGCACCTGCATTGTTATCATCGGCAGTTAGATAACACTCAGTGGGAAACCTGCAAAATCATTTTTATGTGAGCTGCTCAGGTAATACCTATGAATGCTTTGACAATGGCTGCAACAAACAATTATACAGTTTTGACAGATCCCTACTATCTTATCGCACTTAAAGGTGGCTTTTTCTTGCAGCAACTGTGGCAAATGAAAGTTTTCTCTTGATCCACGGCACGAAGGCTGCACGTGCCTTCAATATTGCAGGGATGCTTTGATTGCAATGCTCAGCAGTCTCATTGACTTTGTGCGCATGCTTTAGAACTGTGTAGGTTCTGATTCTGATTCTTTATTTTAGCATTCATTTACAACAAATGCTAGGACAGGAGCAAAAAGCCGCTATCTTGGAGACCTGTACTTGGTGTAAGCCATAGAGTATCATTCAATATCCTTGAGAAGAAACTGCCGCTGAAGTGGTTGTATCATCTTAAAAATGATGGCAAGTACAGTCTTTGGATTGCACAGCTTTAGCTAGCGAACTGTTTATGGATCTTTTTCTTGTTTGTTTCGTTCGTCACGTAGATTGAGGAGTGGGCTGTGGTGCAAACACTCGAGCAGTGCCTTTGTTGTTCAGAGAGCCTGAAGTTGCCTCTGTCTCTTGGTTGGTTGTGTCACTGCAGCCTCACAAGTTCTATATAAAAGCTTTAGTGATGCGTCGTGCACTTACCACTGCACCTAGGTGCCCATTTCCAGTGCTGGATACCGTATAGATAAAGTTCATGTGCTTCTATAAATGCACTTTTCCAAGACTCGATCAAATCAATTGTAAAAGAATGGTGAAGTTAAGTTGATGCACCGTCACGCTTCTCTGACTCAACCTCACAACAAAACAAAAGATCTGTGGGAGGCATACCACTCATACAGACGCGTTTGGCAAAGTGAACTATACGTTAAATGTTTCTAACTCTTACAGTACTGTTATTCCCATAAATAGATAACACATACCTTTAAGGAAGAAACACGCGTGTTTCTTCTAAAGTGTTATAAAAAATAATTAGTTACATCCTGATGCCAAGCGTGGAAAACAATGGCAGAGCAGTGCATGCTCTGGTGGTTGAATTTGTCCAGGTTTCACTTCCATCTCATGGTCACGGGAACTTTTTGCACTAAATTTTCTGTACAGAAGAATGAAGCAACTTTCAAATAAAGATACAGTAGACTCTCAGTAAACAAAAATCTGTCAAGCGGCACAACTGCCTTTGATATGATTGGGTTTGTCCCTGCACACCTATTCATCTTTCAGTAATTGGAACTTCCATTAAATGGACCATATTTACCTGGTTCTTTTAGGTTGAATTTAATGAGGCGACTGTAAGTTCGTATGGCTTTACACTATGCAAACAAGCGTCACAAATCTTCAGAACGTAATTTATCCAATGCAGATGCGAAGTCTGTACTTCCCATCATTTCCGTGACGGTAGAAGCTCCGCTGAAGGAGCCCACAAAGACACCAGTGCCAGATTGCCCTTTAGGTATTATAGCATGAAACTTTAAGGTGTAAGCTTTAGAACACTGAAAATCATTTTAGCTGTGGTTTACACGCTCACATATAAAACTTGCCTGCTCTTTTGGGGTTGGCAGTGTGTGAATAGTGAGGGGTGCAAAGCATATTTTGGATTAATTTTTGGATATTTTGGATTTTGGTGTCCTGTTCTGTGGTGACGAACTATAGAAAGTCATGGTATGACAGTAATTACGGCTTTCACCCTGGTCTTATGCAAAACAAGAACAGCGTTTGTCAATTCCTGAAGAAAATTAAGATATTGATGTAGCACACATTTCTTTATTGTTTTCATGGTACTTTCACGATGATTTGGCATTAAGAGATTTTACTAGACTCTTGAACTAATCCGGATTAGTGATGAGAAACCACGTGTGGTTGCTCACCTGCAAGAAAACAGGTTTTCTAGTAAGTTATGTTGAGCCAGTTGGTACATAGTTACTTGAGAATTGTAACCCTGCATTTACTTTGCAGAGGTTAAATTGTGGGCTTGGTGGGATAAGTGGAATTTCAGAATAAATATGTCAACCACCTAGCAAGGGTGTCCAGATGCATGTTTGAGAGGTGGGCATGGACCTGAAAGCCTACGTCCAGCGTATGCCCCGTCTTGTTGAGGCAGAAGTCTTTTCTCTTCGTCATGCACTCGCTTGCTCGTCTCCTAGAGTGAGCAAGGCGTGCGTAAACCTACTGCTGGGGAAGGCTCCAGCGACATGCCCTGTAGGACTGTTCATCTCGTCATGTTTGTGAGAAGGCTATATGAATGAAACTTTTTTGTGAGAAAATAAAAGGCTGAGTGAAAAAATGCAAGTGAAGATGTCGTGCCATATGACTTGACTTGGCAGTGTTCCTAAAGTCTTTCTCTGGACTTTTTCAGCAGTTCGAGGCCTACACAGAGCCAGAGAACTCGGAACTCTAGTGTGAGCAGTGTCTTCAGCCTTCCGCTGGATCGTGCAAGGCGGCGTCTTCGGCAGCTATCTCTGCAGACTGACTACCTAGATGACAGACTTCGTGCCATGAGGGACGATTCGCTTTTGTCTAGCATGTCCACCCACGATGTGAGCTTGGCATCTTGTGAAAAGAGCTCAGAGGCACACTCCTTCAAAGCAGAATGAGCGATTTTCTTTCTTGTAAAACAAGAGAAACCAATACAAACTAATAATGCATTGAACTCCAGTGTGGGTGACATGCTTTGTGCAGCTATATGCAGCAATGAAGCCTTCACACAACCACAGAAAAGATGTAACTATTGTTTTTTGGTGCTTCACAGTCTGACAATTGGCATCCTGCATGGAAGTTTAGCAAGACTTATTGCCACGAGTACGAAACTTAGTGCTGCCAAGTCAGACACACTTGCTCAGTTAACTGTGTTGCTATTGTCAGCAATATCGTGACACACAAGAGGGCCCAGAGTGGAACCTTCTTGTCTGTCGTGAGATCATGGCGACGCAGGTGTAGTTCTGCATGTGTGCTTGCTATGTGAAGGTAGCTTGATGCTGCCAGCCAGCCTGTCCTGCTCATGTTGAAAGATTAGTGGGAAAGTTCAGAAAACAATTTGCTCTAAAAGTTCAAGAAAAGTGCTCCATGAAATCAGAGCACGCTCAGTATTGATGGCTTCTGGTGTCATCTGTTCGCCATTAATTTTTACTCCTACATGTATGACTACGAATTCTTGTCATTACTGTTCTGCGGTCTATTTGTACTCATAATGACTTACTGACCTGTTTTTGATAACTGCAGTGTTTAAGCTTTGGCTTCTGGTGCAGTGTTTGTTTACAGGGCGGTATGTGTCTGGTTGTGAAGCTTGCTTTGCCAGTGAAGTTCCGTTGCTCAAATTTTAGGCATATAAAAAGCGACGTATGATATTAAAAAAGTCAGTTTCGGCACAAGGCCAATGCAATGAATCCAACACATGAGACTGTTATACGAAATCAGGCTATGAGATTTAGGAACCATTTGAAATGTAGTGAACATGGTCGAATGTGCGCTGAGCTGCACCGTTTCTCGCATGCGCTGCAGCACGTTCTTCCCGTGTCTGGACACGTATGTGAGCCCGCCTTCCTCCAGCGCGACTAGCATTCTGTTGGAGCTGTTTAGCAGTTGATCGTACGACGCGCTGAGTACAGCGAAAAACGCCGGCAAAAGCCGGCGTTTTCTTGGCGTTTTCTTCCTTGGCGACAGTTGATGTCGACGGTGCTGGTGACGGTAGCGAAAAAGTACAGTTCCAATGCACTTTACCAAAACGTCCACCTAAGATTGTCCAGACATCGCCGTGTGGGCGTCGACGCCAGAAACAGCTGGATGGTGGAAGAAACTTGCTTGATTGCTATTTTCTTGATGTATGGTTCTTATCCACCATGGGGGATTGGCCATGAAACCGGCAGTTAATATATAGAAAATTTTTAATTTTGAAAGCCATGAACTAGCTGTCTCATTTTTGAGCTGCATAACTACAAGCGAGACATGCAAGCTTTGTTCAAGGATGTTTCTTTTTTAAGTCCATTCACAGTAAAGCAATGGTAAATGGTGGGTATATATAGCTCGCCGTTAGTGAGATGATAGCATGAGTGGCGCGTCCTAGTTGATTAACGCAGCATGATGAGAAACGAGGGGTCACTGGTTTGAATCCCAGCACTGTGTCTACCAACCTGGAAAAGTCTTGGAATTTGGACACTTTTGAAAAAGTCGGATAATTTCTGAAAAACCTGGCCAGGTCACGGAAACTGACAGCAGTTCTATGTGACCATCTTAAAAATTAGGATTACCATTGATCAAAGCTTAAAAAGTCGCTCTTTCAACTGCAACTACAGTAAGCTGCTAGAAGAGGTGCGAAAAAAAAAATGTGCGTAACTGTTGTTTTTTAATGCAAACGCGAAAGGATACACTAACCCGTGGAACACAGTGTTTACTGATGTTCCGGCACCCAATATAGGAGGGAGCCTTGTTCACAATGAAAGCCATAAGAAAGGCAAAGCGTACTGAAGTACACCTAAATACGTGACGTAAGCAGCGAGAGTACCTACATTGTCAGCAACATTTCATCACTCTTGTTCAGCCTATGTACATTATCCGAATTCCGGGTGCAGGCATGATGCAAGCTTCTTTTATAGTTGCACCTACTAGCAACTCTTGCATCGTCACCCCCACTGCACATGCTCGAAGTCTTGTGCCAACTGTCGCTACCCCCCCCCCTCCCCCTGTCGCTAGCTTAGCAAGGCGGCGTCTGCTAGTAAAAACTGACACAACCACTCGGGCTGCACAACCATTCACTTGCCACCCTGTATATGTGCACTAGATCGGGCGTTCGGAATTCAGTCCAGGGCGTCTTTACTTGGTTTTCGCTTGACTTGACGCTTTGCTTAACTCGAGGAGTAAATGTGATGGAAGCAACAATACCTTCAACCAGTAGTAGGGCACAACCCTACATCAGTGACCCACCACTCGTTGAAAGGAACACTTCTCTTTCATTCAGTAAATACGAATAATAAAGACGAAATAACAATTTACATTCCCAAACCGTACCCAACTACGCAACATTCAAGCGATATCTCCACCACTCTGTTCCTCTAGTCCTTCGCGGGTTTTTTCTTCGTCCAGCATACGTGTGTTTGACCAGTCTATTTGGTGGTCTGCAGATTCCGCGTGCTCAGCGAGAGCAGTCGAGGCCACATGACGTTCCATGGCATCATATTTATATTTGTGTAGTTTAAATCTTTTGTTGAAATCGCCAGTTTTATCAATGTACTGGTTTGTCATTATTGTGGCAGCTTATGGCATACACAAGACCAAAGAAATTTCTCCTCGGCAACTTGTCCTTCACATTGCTAAAGCATTCCTCAGCTTCCACATTGATAAATGGACTATTTCGGGCTGTGTTGCTTCTATATATCACACGGCATATCTGGCTTTCGAACTACAACATTACTCACGTCTTTGAATTTATTCATGTTTGTCTAGGCCACAATTACGGTTTGGCTTGAAGGCCATCTGGTTTGTCTAGGCTAGAAGTGTCGTCAGCAGAAGCTTTCCGGGCTAGTCATGTCTTTTAATATTATTAATATTGTATTAATAATATTAATATTATTATTATCATTATTGGTGATGCAACAGCAAATGTCCTCAGCTACACACCTATTGCTAGTAGCTCATGTTTAAAGGGTAGCACTTGGGTAACTTAATCTAACTTCAGTTTTGTGAGATTGTATAAAAAAATCTGCATTTACCTTTTAGCGCTTCGTCCACAGAAAAGTACGTAAAACAAGGTAATGTGTCGACACTCGTGAGTCGCCTGTGGAATCAATGTAGCTGCTGCACCTTGACAGATTCGCTCTTGTGACCACATATTCAAACATTGGCACTTTAAACGCTCTTCAGAGCTTTTCATTGGAGCCATTGGAGGACTTCGTTGCACTTCAAGCGTCAGAGCTCAGAGATAAAATACAAACATGGCTGCCGTGCATCAACACAACACGCTAATCCGCTCATGTTTGCTATGCAGGTTAGTAATGCACACAGTCTTTCTACAAAGCGGTCAAGTGTAATTACCTGCTGCAGCTGCCGGCCCCACATTGCTGCCTTTCCATTGTTGTTCAGTGCTGTGATGTTATCCATTCATTGCTGCTGTTTGCGGGAGACATCGAAACTAACCCTCGACCTGATAATCAAGCTGTATTAAACGAACTTAAGAAATTATCTGCAGGGAAATCGCAACTAATCCTAATCGCGGAGATTAAAGATTCGATGTCTCAGATACAAACAATCGACAAAGCTATAGCTGATCTGAGCTTCCATATGACTCCTCTTGAAACCCACTACCAAAACCTAGTCTTCCTGCGTTTCAATATAGAAAATATGAAAGGTGATGCTATTTGTGCAGCACAGACAATAGAGAGGATAAAAATGCGCATTCACGATGCTGAAAACCATTCTCGGTGAAACAATCTACTTTTTTATGGTATTCCTGAGTCTTCTGGACTGGAGTTGTTTTCACTTATAGAAAATACCATCATCGATCACTATAAGAAATATCGAAACATTACGCTTGATGCGAAAAAAATTGAGCGAGTGCATCGCTTGGGTCACGTTAAGTTCACGTCTTACAAAACAAAAGAACTAGCGCTTTTTAACAAGCGTAACTTTAAGGGGACAGGCTTCAGCGTAGGTGAAGACTTCACCAGAAATATCGAAATTGCTCGCCAACACCCAATTGTTTTTGCAAAAAGCAAATAAGCACCCTACTGTCTGGGTTTTAAAACCCTGCTCATTGGTAATAAGCGCTACGAGTATGAAGAGCACACAAAAAGTGTGAAAGAAGTACAATAGCAGTTGTCTCTTTGTAAGGGATAGCCCTGCCAATCGGTATAAGAACAAGCCAGTCTTCGCTTTTCAATGATGTGCGGCAATGCACATAGTTTCGTCTTTAAACGCAATGTCCTGCTTAATCTCATGTTGTCGTCTAACCGCAACTTACTAATAATTATTGAAACATGACTGACTGTTGATATCACCGATACGGAGGTTCTTGCAGACCTGCTGAACTTCTGTCTTCATAAAGAAGATTGTAAAGCTTCAAGAGATGGTGACATGCTTATTGCTGCCCGTCAGGATTTATCGTCCTTGCTCGCTGCAGTCGAAACTAACCTCGAAACGATATGGCTTATTTGCCGCGCCTCACCACTGAAAGTTCTCTTGGATGTTTGCTAGAAGCCACCACCACGGCTGCCCGGATTGGGCGCGCGCGGTAGGGTTCCTCGGACCGTTTTATTCGCACGAAGGAAACGTAACTGCAAAAGGGGGCGTGGCCGCTCCGTTGGCCGCATGGAGGCGCGCCTACCACCCCTTCTTTGCTGTCTATGCGGGATGGTTTGCGATGCTTGAAGATTTCGCTTTATAGAAACCGCAGACCGCTGGTTAGCTGTACACCTTGTCTTTCCTCGCCCTCCAACCACCTCAAATAAAACAAATGGAAGAATTGATGGTGGCTGGCGCTATAGTCTTTCTTTTTCTTCGTGCCCCAGCTGTTGTCGTGATGCTAGTGACTGAAGCGGACACATCCTTGAGCCAGTTTTTAAGAAAATTTTGGTGCCCTCCTGTGCAGCACATGAGTGGACAGTACATAGGAGAGTGAACTCCCCCAAATGATCGATTAGAAATTTTTTGTTGACTGCTTCC